TCGACGAGGATGGTGCAGAGGACGGAGGTAATGCGCTAGCGGAGGTCAAAGCTCTGGGTCTCGCTCAAGGATTCGACGGAATCGCCAGTCTCAGTGCGAAACGCGTATCGACTTCGAAAGTTAGGGAGCGTGAAAAGTCAAAGCCTGTTGTCGAGGACGAGGAGGAGGAGGAAACTCCCGTTCTCATGAACCCCGAATTGCCGAACCTCAAATCCGTGCTGGACGCAGCGGATGTAGTGCTCCAGGTGCTGGACGCACGCGATCCACTTCCCTTCCGGAGCTCCCATCTCGAGGAGCTAGCTGCTGCCAAGTCTGGTTGCAAGGTCGCGTTTGTACTGAACAAAATTGGCGAGTCTATTCGATTGTTCTCGTCCCCTCGACTGCGGCTGAATTCCATTCTAGATACATCCCCGCGAGAAGCTGTTGCTGCTTGGACAACTCATCTCCGCACCGTCCAGCCGACATTTCCATTCCGGTCGTCCACAAGATTCATGCCTCTCGGTCCAGAGGCAATCATGGCGGACAAGGGGAAGGGCAAGTCAAAAGCATCCCCGAATGACGCATTGGGACAATCGGCCATCTTGGATTTCCTGGCCGACTGTGCAAGCTCGAAAAAGGGCGATGCGCCGCTCACAGTTGCCGTCGTCGGGCTGACCAACGTACGGACGCTTACTTATTCTCATCTGGCCATGGTAGCTTATCTCCAGCCTAGTCCGGAAAGAGCTCCCTGGTTAATTCGCTCATACAAAAGTCTGCTCTGCCGATATACACTTTGGCCACTTCCTCGCGCGGCCCAACAACAACCTCGTACGCGCAAGAGGTTGTTCTCGACATCAAGGGCAAGCAAATCCGACTTGTTGATACTCCTGGGCTTGCTTGGGAGATTCCATCGGGCGTCTCAGATGACGAGGATGAGGACAGTGCAAATGCTGTCAACGATGCTCGGGCACGCGACATCCTGCTACGCAGCAAAGGCCGGATCGACCGATTGAAGGATCCCGTCATGGCCGGTAAGCCCTCCTCCGGTCTCATGGTCGCCGCGCGCTCATCTCAAGCGGCCAGCGCAACACATCGTCTCCCGAACGAACGCCGAAGATCTGATGCTCATGTACAGCCTGCCTGCCTTCTCTGCAGGCGACATGGACGCGTTCTTGTCGTCCGTGGCACGTGCGCATCATCTGGTGAAAAAGGTGTGTGTCCTGTCCTGCTCCGAGATCCGTATCCGCAGCATTAGTGAACATTTTGCGCATAGCGAGGCGAGCTGGATCTAACCGGCGCTGCCCGCATTGTGCTGCGGGACTGGAACACCGGGAAACTTCCTCGATACACCGTGCCTGCCACTTCATCTGCAGGCTCGGCATCGCTTTCCGCAGCGGATGAGTCGCTTCTCGCTACGCTGCAGATGCGCAGGGATTTCCGCAAAGCCCGGGGTCTGGTTAAACTTACCCTCGGTGCGATCGAGACAAGGAGGGCTGTGTTGGACGAGGATTGGACAGCGTCTGCTGTTGGCGACGATGATGTAAGCGAAGATGAGGGTGAAGATGAAGATGAAGATGATGCCGGCGTCCAAAATGATGACGACGAGAGTATCGAAGAGGAAGCTGAGGACGAAGAAGACGATGGAGAAGAGGAAGAGGAAGAAGAGATCGTCGTTCCCCTTTCCGGAAAGCAGAAACGGAAAAGGGCAGCAGAGCAGGCGAAACCTCGCAAAAAGGTCGTGTTCGCACCAGAGCCTAAATCCTCGAAGCAGGCTCGTTCGGCAGCAAGCAAGACGCCCAAGCTTCGTGACACAGCTGTGAAATCGAAGAAGATCGCTGCGAATGTAGGTGGCAAGTCACAAAAGACGGACGGTGCTCCGGGACCTGAGGAGTACAACTTTAGCCAGTTCTTCTGAGACGCAGATCTATACATTCGCCATACTTCATTACTGTAGTGTAATTCACATGCGACTTGAATGTGAGCACTCCTCATGGAGAGGGTGACAGTGTCTCGAGGAACTCTATGGCAGGATGTCTAATCAGGTAACTGCCACTCCTTTTGGGGTTATCAACACCGCCTAGAGAAGTTGGATGTGAACGCTGAACTGTTGAATCGCGACCACAATCGTGACACTACTTTCCTCGTGCCTGTCGTTCCGTGTGCAGGTCCACTCTTCTACCGCCGGCGTCAATTGCGGCCATCTGACGGGACATGGGAAAGAAAGAGAAGCTACTGCCCCATGACGTCGTCACCCAGAGGACCACATATAACTGGACGGCGTGCTGGGAAGAACCTCGGTCTCTCTTTTTCTGGACTCAACAACACCTTTTCATGTGCTGTCTGCTGCGGCATTTCATAATGGGCACGATATAAGAGCGCGGCGCCTACTCTGCATACTTGTACTCACCACTAATCACACTCACGACCCACAATGACCATTTCCATTTCCCTCGACCCTATTCCTCTGCGTCCTCAGGACAACATCAAGGTACACTGTCTACAATCATACGGTTCTCCTATGCTGATCGTTCCGTTAGACCGGTCGCCCCCCTCTGTTGCATAAGCTCTCCCGAACGCCTGGGATGCCCATCCACGACACCATGCTCAGCGCCCTTCCCGTCGAACTGCTCGCCGAGATCTTTCTCCTGTATTGTGGGAGGTTCTGTCCAGTAGGAAGCGCGACCCAAGGGCCGAGGCTGCTGCTTCGGGTCAGCAAATCGTGGAGAGATCTGGCCATTGACTCGCCGCACCTCTGGTCGTCCTTTTCGCTCGACGTCCGGCCTGGATCTAGGCGGTGCGATGAGCCCATCGACGAGCTTGCACGGTGGATCAGACGCTCTCGGCGGATTCCGCTCGATTTCAAAGTGCACTACCCGGTTATGGACAGCACGGCCACGGTGCTCTTCGGGCTCCTGATCGGCGCCTCAGCCCGGTGGCGCGATGTGCGCATCCACGCACCCAACGCGTGTCTCGCCCCGTTGTGTGATCTCGACGGCGCGAGATTGCCTTTGCTGCGAAAGTTCAAGCTGGAGACCGCCGTCGCATTCACGCTGGCGCCCGCGAGTCTGCGCATCCGGTGGGACCAGATATCGACGCTGGATCTGTTCGTGATTCCTGTGCCGACGCTCGATCAGATCCTGTGCATCCTGCGCGAGGCGAAGGCGCTTCGCCGCTGCCGGACGAATGCGCTGTGCGTGCTGGAAGACACGCAGCCGGAGGATGAGGACATCCGCCTTCCATATCTGTCGCATTTTGAGCTCAAGCTGTACGGCAGCAGGAATGGAACGGATGCCCAAAGCGACCTTCTCTCTGTGCTGAACAGGCTTTCCGTGCCGGCACTGTCGTGTCTGGGCATCAGCTGGGTCGTCTCGCAGGCCTCGTACCGGGGCTTTGACGGCCCGACTGCTGATGGATTCGCGCAGTTTCTGGCTCGATACGGGCGGCGCCTCCAGCGCCTGAGCCTGGCGTACCTCCCGCTGGACACGCACCAGCTGCTGCGGTGTTTGCGCGTGGTGCCCAATCTGACGTTCCTGGGCATCTCGCTGTCGCAGGCCGACGCTGCGCACGACAGCATCAACGACGAATTCCTCAGCGCACTGTCGGCCGACGGGGGTCTGCTCCCAGCGCTGAAGAGCGCCTGGCTCGAGAGCCACGGCGAGGGCTTCGACGATGCCGCGTTGCTTGCGTTTCTGGCCTCCCGATGGAGATACTCCCCCTCCGCGTCAGGCTGTCTGGAGTCGTTGGACATCGTTGCGCCCCTCCGACGCGCGGAATATCGTCCCCTGCACTTCTCGGACTCCAGGCGCGGCCGGCTCCAAGTCTCGGCACGACTCAAAGCCGAGCGCTATATGCTACCAGTCCTCCTCTCGTTTATGCTGTACGATTTCACGGACAAGATGATATGTTTTACGAACAAGGACTTTCCGCCGGACATTCGGTCGTTACTGGTTTTGGTGTAGTTGCGTTATTGACGAGCTTCTGTCGCTGCGAGCAAGTATGTAGTCTGGAATGATATCAGTCGCGGCAGTCAGAGTATCTGAATGGGTCAAGGCAGCCTTCAATGCTTGCATATCGCGGCAGAACTACGTACGGCCCAGATCGCACTCGCTGTTCTCGTCTCCTCGAGAACATTAATTCTGGGTTCATGAGAATATGCTCCAGGGTTAGTCACCAAACGCGGTGCACGGAAAGCGCATCCGTTCAAATGAGACTATGATCTCGGCCTCGGAGCGGATTTTTTTTCTTAAAATAACAGCATCCAGTGATGGTGATTATCGACAAGCTGTAATAATAACATGGCAGCTGAGGTAATACCTGGATCCAGTGCTGCGCCAAACAGAGAAAGTAGGGGACCGAATCGGTATCGATGCCGGTGTCACGCCCGACATGCCTCAGACCGACTCAGACTGTATCTTGCTGATAGACAGTTCCTCATGCTCGTCGGCCCAATTTGCCAGAAGTCCCGGCAGTTCTCAGAGGCACTGCTACTCATGGAAAAGCTCGGTGATCGGCGTTTTGAACGTCTGACTGTTCCGCTGATCTACTGTAGAGTCAGATCAGTACTTTGACCGCTACCTCGTCAACTTGATCTTCTTCGACTGCGCGCCGATATTGAGGACCCGGATAAATACGATACGCCACGCTTTGAAGCGCAGTCCGGGCGCCTGAGATAATACGACCCAGCGCCCTGTATATTCCCGCACGCAGTTGGTCTTGAACTGCACACAATTCATCGCCGGGTCGACGATACAGTATGCACGACAGTGCAGAAACTTTGAATGCGAAGGATGGCTCGATGGAGTGGCAATTATGGCTACTAGTCGGACCACAGGGCTGTCAGAACAGTGTCACCTACTATGTCACCCACTCTCTCTGTAACAAGGTCGAAACGTCGACGCAGTATGCGCCGCGGTGCCCGGACATGACTTGCTCAGTCTCTGACCCCCACGTCTATTTCTAGTTTTTTTTTCGCTCGTGGATGCCCATGTATAGGATAAATAATATTTATTATGCGGAGGGAAAAACGGTCATTTTGGGGCCAAACTCTTAGTATTACCATCCCAAGAAAGATCAGACCCCGCGGGTCTATCGGTTATGTAATGATGGCGGAGGTGGCTGGGTGTGTCCATCAATCAGTTCTGCAACTGATGGACACCTGACTGGCCCTGCACTCTTGACAGCAACAACAACCACGGTCACAGGATGATGTAAACAAGCGAGCTTCCGTGATGGGTCTCGAGTCCGATGATTCCCTCACGTACGCGGCCGGCCAACCCACGGGGTTGACAGCCACCATTTGACAAATCATCCTCTGGATGACAGTTATGCGCGACAGTGCAGACGCCATGAAAGCAAAGGATGATGAATCGGCAGAAAAGAGCGCACAGACCTCCACATCCGCGGCGCCAGCTCACAAGAGCCGCGCGTTCTACATGAGCTTCGTGGCGATCATGGTCACCTCGTTTCTCAGCGCACTGGATCTGACGGCGGTCGGAACAGCGCTCCCCACAATCTCGGTGGCCCTGAAGGACAGCAAGGGCGAATTCACCTGGGTGCGTCTCCTGGCTCTGTCCGGATGATCTGCTGCTCAGTGCAGCAGGTCGGTTCGGCCTACGCGCTGAGCAGTACCGCGTTTATTCCACTGAGCGGCAGCTTGGCTGATGCATTCGGAAGGTGTGCAATCACACATTCTTGATCCCAGTTCTCCATTGTTTCGAGCAGGAGACCTGTCCTCCTTCTTTCCATCGGGTTCTTTTTCTTGGGAAGCGCCATTGCTGGCGCAGCGCAGAATATGGTGCGAGGATAGTGCTTGCTCTGTCCTGTCACTGAATGGTTTGGGCAGTCGATGATGATTGCCGCGAGGAGTGCGTCCATTCTGCGTTAACTGGTCAGCTTACAATGTCTCTTGTAGCTATCCAAGGTACTTTCCACTTATCCCATGATCACGTCCCTCGCTCCACGGCCAACAGGAATTGGTGGTGGCGGAATCCTCAATCTTACAGAAGTTTTGATGGCGGATCTAGTGCCTTTGGCTGAGCGAGGCCTCTATCAGGGCCTGGATGGACTTGTGTGGTCCTTTGCTTCTGTGCGTGATTGATTCCTAACACGCGTCTCACAGGCTCATATTATCTGCAGTGCATAGGCCCTCCAATAGTGCGCATCCTGTCAATGATGCGAAGAGTGCTCATTCATTCATCCACCGGCAGGGCGGTGCACTCGCTACCCATAATAAAAAAGCCTGGCGCTGGCTGTTCTGTGAGCCATGCATATTTACTTTCCCGTGCTTGATTCATGTTCACCAGTCCTCAATTTGCCGTTGTCCGGGCTGGCTTTCATCTTGGTTATGATCTTCCTCAGGGTCAAGACTCCCCCCGGTACCGTCAAGGAGAAGCTTGCGAAAGTGGACTGGATGCGAGTCTCACTCCTTGCTTGTCGTCGTTAATCCAAGTCCTGATTGCTTTTCCAACCCAGCGGGAATATGATGGTCGTCGTAGGCTCTGGGCTTGTCACCATAGCACTCACGTGGGGAGGAATCCGGTACTCCTGGCGGTCTGTTCCGGTGCTGTTGCCGTTGATCCTGGGGGTATTATTCTTGGCCTTGTTCTGCGTTTACGAAGCCACTGTACCGGCGAAACCCACCATTCCACTCGACGTGATCGGCAATCGAACGTCCTTGAGTGGGTGAGGTAATTCACGCGCCCCGTTCAATAGTTATTGACCACTTCTCAGGTTATTGAGCACAGCAGCGCACAGTATTGCGAGCATGGGCAAGTCGATGATCGCCTGATGCAGAGGGTGTACTGTATGCTGACCTCGACGACAGCTATTATCTACTACCTACCCGTCTTCTTCCAAGCGTGTTTCGGCGCCTCGCCCATCCGATCTGCCGTGGACTTTCTCCCCGGCGCTCTGCTCACTGCCCCCTTCGCGTTGATTGCAGGCCTCGTGATTACGGTTGCAAAGCGGTACAGAGAAGTGAATTGGGCGGGATGGGTGTTCATGATCGTCGGATTCGGACTGACCAGCACTCTGAAAGCGACCGCCTCGACGGGACAATGGGTTGGGTTCCAGGCCATTGCCGCCATTGGGATCGGATTGATTGTGCGTGCATCGTGATCATGGTCTTTGGGCGTCTCCCGTTCATGTTCCTACGACGAGCTTTAGTTCTCTGGCCCCGTCTTCCCCATACTCGCACCACTCCATCCCGACCGCGCAGGCTCCGCGCTGGCGCTTTTTGGATTCACGCGGGCCTTTTTCCAGACGTGGGGCATCGCCATCGCTGGATCAATTCTCCAGGTGTGTGTGTGTGTGTCTATACAACGCGCCCCCTCGCAGCGACAATCCACTCATCCTCTGCCTGCCCAGAACGAACTGAGCCGCAGACTCCCCCCGGCATTCATCGCCCAGTTCCCGCCCCACTTCGAGATCGCGTACTCCGCTATCCCAGCCATCGGACTGCTCGAGGAGCCGCTCAGATCAGAGGTGCGAGCGGCTTTTGCGGGGAGCATGGACGTGATCTGGCGGGTCATGATTGGTGTCTGTGGACTCGGATTGCTGTTTGCCTTGTTCATGAAAGAGGTGCCCATGAGCACGGATGTGGACGAGAGATATGCGCTTCAGGAGGGCGGGGGTCCAGCGGTTGAGATCGCGACCTAGTGTGGTGGCATTAAATTCTTATTGGTCAGCCGTCGATATACACACTCAGACTGTGCACATGCTCCAGTATGCAGAGAGATATGGCAGATGGGGCCTCGGCCTGCAATAGGCCGCACTGGCGACAACAGACAGAACCCTTCCCGAAGCACGGCCCTATTCATGTAGAAGTCAAGGGCACATTAATTACCGCCGCGAGAGGGTGCATTTCTGAGCTCGCTTGAGAAGGCAGAAGACCCAACAGGGGTCGCGCGTCTTCAACAAACCTCTATTCCTAGGAAACTGAAGTGCGGCCGGATACATTCGCGCTCTGGATGATTTTTGTCGCGGGCATCATATCTGCACCCGGGCGGCAGGGCGTTCCTCCATCTCAAAGTGTTTCAGGTGCAACACTTGCTAGCCTGCCTTTGGAATGGAATGGAATGGAGACGAGGGACGCTAGTGGCGCTCCGAGTTGTAAACTGCTAGACGCGCGCTGGTCCTCCTCCATTCTGGTGCCTCTATAAGAAGCTCAGCCGCCCATCTTACGTCTGTCTGTCCCTCGCCCACCATGCCCCGCTTCCGCCCTTACTTCTGGCTTGCCCTCGCGTGGCGCGCTGTCCTCGAGAGGTTCACGTCCCGCTGGCTGTGGCTTGCGAGCGAAGAGACGGGCGGCGCCGTGTCGTTGAACATCATCGTCGTCGGCGGAGGGATCGGCGGCCTCGCGGCCGCCTATTGCCTCGCAAGGGCAGGACACGCCGTGACTATCCTCGAGCGCGCAGCCGCCGCGGGAGACGATGTGGGCGCCGGGATCCAGGTATGATGGGAGTTACGATCACGTGTCGAGCTGATTGGCATTGGCGTGATCATGCCACTGACAGGTTTCTCCGAACTTTAGTCGACTGCTGATCCGGTGGGGATTGGGAGAAGAGTTGGCGGAAAAAGGGTGTGTGCCGGAGGGCATCGCGTTTCTTCGGTGTGCGTATACAAAGTATAGGCTACCTCTGGGAGACTCATGCGCCCTAGATTCCACGGGAGAGCGGGTCGGGGCCACGCGATGGGGCAAACAGATGGAGGCTGATTACGGCGCGCCTTATTATCACATCCACGTGCGTCACCTGAAATCGCGGTGCAAGAGCTTCCCTGAGTCCCAGCTTACTTGCATCTCTGATGACCAGCGCGCCGACCTCCTGCGGATGCTCACGCGCCTGTGCGCCCGCCGTGCGGCCCTGCGGCTGGACAGCCGGGTTGCTTCTGTCGATCCAATCACCGGCTCCGTGGTTCTCAGCTCAGGCGAGATGCTTACCGCAGATCTCATCGTCGGGGCCGACGGGATCAAGAGCGTCGTGCGCTCTGCGGTGCAGGGAGAAAAGCCTCCGCTGCAGACCGGCGACGCGGTGTACCGCGCGGTGATCCCCACAGACGGGATGCTGGCAGACCCAGACCTGGAGGAACTGGTCAGGGGGAGGGAGATGGTCAATTGGATGGGGCCTGGTGTGTTTCGCGGTCTCCGTTTAACCGCCAACGCTCGTAACCTAGATTTGCCAGAGAAACATGTTATCGGATACTGCATCGTGAGTCTGCCAGGTCTCGGTGTCGCCCGGTGAGCCCGACATATTCCAGCGAGCTGGCCGCGAATACAATCTCGTCCTCGTGCATCCTGATTGTCGGACGAGGAAGGAATCGTACATGTGCGAGGGCTCCGTCGAGCAGATGAGGTCGGACTTCGAAGGGTGGGATCCGCGGTACCAATTTCCCGGAAATAAAACCCGATCCTTTGCTAAAGGTTCGGGCACAGGTTGCAGAAGCTGCTCAGGTTGGTCGAGAAAACGTACATCCTTCCACTCATGTATCGGCCCCCGATCGAGGGCTGGGTTCACGCGAACGGCAAAATGGTTCTGTTGGGCGATTCCGCCCACGCGACGCTTGTGCTGAGAATTCTTCCCTCCTTGCTAGTACGTATGCTGACTCACTGCTTGACAGCCCTCCCGGGCCCAGGGCGCGGCTATGGCGGTAAGAATCGCGTGCTCCAGGCTCATGCCCTGGCTCAAATCCGCTGAGACTCAAGTGTGCGCAGGTGGAAGACGCTGCCGTTCTCGGCGTCTTGCTCAGCAGCCTCCACTCCAGGAGCGAAGCGCGGCTGCGCCTGCAGGCCTACCGAGACCTGCGCTACGCACGCACCGAAGCCACGCAGCGCGCATCGCTGTCCAACCACCGCGTCTTCCATCTCCCAGACGGCGAAGCGCAGCAGCGCAGGGACGCGAGCATGCGAGCGGCCATGGCCGGGTCAGAATCTGATCACAACGCGAATATATGGGCCGATCAGAAGAAGAGCGCGGTCCAGTTTGGCTATGATGCGGAGCGCGTTGCGCAGGAGTGGCTCGACGCGCATGCAGGGCCTCGCCTGGCAGCGACGCGGTCGACGGCAAAGGTTCGCTAGGGTGTCCATACGACGACCTGTGTTGCTTGCACGCGGTCCTTGGTAGCCGCGGAGAGTTGAATTAAACCGGTGTTCTTGTCTCAGCCGTGGGAAGCATCGTCGTGCGTGGACCGAGAACTCTCTCTCGTACTGCGGATCTTGAAGGTGGCGTCCGATACAACGCAGTTGCTGTCCTCTAGTTCGGCGCTGGGGAGCGTAGTGTCAAGGGTTGAGCGTGGGGATGGTGAAAGCTTTCATTCCAATGTCCAGGGTTAGGCCGGGAGCTGCTTGAGCGTCACTCGCCTTGGGTAGCAATGAGTAATACTCGCTCAGGCGTGCGCATGGTGGTCACATGGTTTTTCAAGTGCATCCGTTCTACGTTTCGATTACGAGGAAGAGAAGGGCACGATGATCGGAAAGACAAAGAATAAAATGGAATCACGCACGAGCGCAGGGTGCTCGCTTTGAAGACATCATTCTGCATATATCTAGGCATATATCTACGGACAAAATCATCTAATCTGTACTGCAAATTCTTTCCTCCAAGATTCTCGACACGTCCGTAGTCCCATACATAATACAATTATTGCAATGTCTGCGTGCGTAATAACCTAGCAAGACCGCGTGACTGGATCACGGAACGGGATCAAAGCTGGTGGAATGTTCCTGAGTCGAGAGTAGTAACGGGGGCGTGTCAGTGTGCTTAAACATGCCAGGCTCCGACTCCAAAGTGTTGTACATGTATGAGGGAAGGATAGAAAGTGAAATACACCAGGAACGAGGAGAAATGAACGCAAGAATGAAGAGAAAGAATGGATTGGCTCAGGATGTCTGTACATACCTCAATTCTTGTCCAATCCCGCTCTAAATCCACAATTCTCATTAAAAAGTGCTATTGAAGGTCCATGTACGATACGAAGGTGAACGGAGAGAGAATGAACGAGTTTGAGAGGGTTGCAACTGCGCTCGACTTGCCATCAAATCGTGCGTAGAATTTGTTCGTGTTTTGTGTGCCTTCGCACCCTTAACTGATGATTGCTCGCTTCGCTCGCAATGATCCACAGGCTGTGTCAAAACACCGTCGAGTTTTTCCGTCGTTACGAGTTTACATAATGATGAAAAGTCGTTGCGAGTGAGGTTGATCACAGTCGCGTCGTGTCACGCAGTGACAACGTGATGTGCGATTAGAATTCAACGGGAACTCTAAATTATAATTTACAGTAGCCCGACACGTGTAGGGCACTCAAACAAGAGTCGGGCGAGCCCGAAAAATCCGTTGCCAAAGGCCCAGGGTCCCTCTCTCGCAGGGCTTGATTTTAGCCAATCATTCAAGGACGTACTTGATGAGCATCAGGGTGCGATCTGCTGCATCTGTAGCTATGGAAAAACTGAGGACGTGTACGTATTCGGTAATGCACGGGCATTGGCTTTGGAGAAGGTCCCTGGTTCTCGGAATTGTCATAGTAGGATGCCGCCAGCCTTCAACGCCGCCGCCGCCTCGTTCTGCACTGGGAAACGTTATTATTACCTGTGACTGATGGTGTTTGCCGTCACACCTCGCCCACTTTTGCGTTCGCACTCCACGCACTTGAGCGACAGACGTGTTATTTGGAACAAAGTTCACACGCGAAAAAAACGGTGAAGATCGCATACGCGATTAGACACAGTCAGACCCGATCTCACACGTCGCTTACACGGTCTGAAACCCCGAATGTTCTCGTGCCATGATTTGCCCTGCCACGGGACCCTACTGTTCAGATGCTCGGATCCTCTGACACGGAAGTTTTCGAGCAGTCTATAAATCGCGGCGGCTTCTCTCAAGGTAGGTACACTGTTTTTCCCTCCCGCATATTCTCTCAGCGTCATGTCTGTCAGTCTCGGAATCAGGGCGTGTCCCACCACCCCGGCAGCCCCGTTCCTGCTCGACCCTGGGTTCAACATCTCCGCCGTCGCCACCATCGCCAAGGCGCTGCCCTCCCACTCTTGGGAGTTCGGCACAGCGTCTGAGGCTCTGCTCGAGCTGTACAACCCCGACATCTCGGTGTTCGGGTCCAAACCGTTCCCCGTGCCCGTCATCCCGTCCAACTGCCACATCCCGTCGCTGGACTACGCCGCCAGCAAGATCGTGTTTGGCACCGGCGCGAACGGGCTGTCGGACGGGACCGGGGCTGTCGGCGACCCCGCGAGTCTCGGCGTCAGCGCGGTTCTGCTCGGGAAATCGAACGCGTCGTTCGCCGCCGGCGCGCAGGAGGAGCTGACGTACATTACCACCGTCGCACCGCGGTACGCGAACGGGGCTATCTCGCAGCGAGCCGATGTGGCCGAGTTGTGGTAAGTCGCTCGAGCGCTGGGGGCGGGCCGGTCAAAGCTGACATCCATCAGGGCCGACTTTATGTACATGGCGCCGCCGTTCTTGGCGTACATCGCCGCTGATCGGAACAACGCGACGCTCCTGAAGGAGGTCTACGAGCAGTGTGGCCTGTACCGCGCCGTGCTGAAGCCCCCCGCGGTGCAGAACTGGCAGCACATCATCGGGCCGCAGAGTGCCGACCTGGGTCTGTGGAGCACGGGCAACGCGTGGGCTGCGGCCGGCATGACTCGCGTGCTCGCCACGATCATCAAGGCCCCGGTCGCCAAGAACGCGGACTGGCGCTCGGGCGCGATCGCGGACCTGACGACGTGGATCCAGGAGATCGTGGACGGCGCGATGAGCCAGTCGACGGACAACAACCTGCTGCGGAACTACCTCAACGACACGACCGGGGACGGTCACGGGTACGGCGAGATCTCTGGCACCTCCATGTTGGCCGCTGTGACGTATCGCATGGCTGTGCTGAGCAAGGCGACGTTCGGAGCCAAGTACATCGCGTGGGCTGAGAGCGTGCGCAAGACCATGGCCTCGCACATCTCCAGCAATGGAACGGCCGCGCCGGCAGTCAACCCGCTCAACTGGGGCGACACCGTGCCCTTCACCGCTGGATCCCCCGAGGGCAACAACTTCGTTGTGCTCATGTACGCTGCCTGGCGGGACTGTGTCAAGGTTGGAACCTGTTCCAAGTAATGGTATTCGAAGCTGCGTAGTACTGACATAAATCAACTGCGCCGTGTTATCAATCAAGCGAATGTTGTCCAACTGCAGCCAAAACGTCGCTGAGTCTGAGTTGTGCCACCCACAACACTTCTGATGGTGGCTGGCTGCAGCTGATAAATGGCCTAGAATACAGTCAAAGCCCTGCCGTTGCGATGCAAAGAGCGACCGATGGGAGATCGTCTGAAATTTGTATGCTGGCCGAGGATCGGGCGCCGGTAGAAGATCGAATGCCGTAAGGAGAAGGTAGAAGTGTAGCACCGCCGTAAGGGCCTCGCTTGGCTGCACGAGGGAAGCGACCACATAATTCTCTGTAGGTAATGATACCCTATTACTTTTCAATACATCGTCATTTAGAGTATATTAAAGGTTCTAGAGCGCCGCATTTTCATACATTTTCTACAAATCTCCAGTTGATTTGCTAGAATTTGACTTTGAAAAAAAGTTGCCCGAAAGCAAAAACAGCCTGAAGTTCTGAAATCAGCAACTGTGAGTCGGGCACCATCAATTCTAGAGATGGGGCAGAAAATCAACCGGGAATTTGTAGAAAATGCCTGAAAAGTCGAATCCCAGAACCTTGAATAAGTACTTATACTCAATGGAGAAGTTTGCAAAGGGAGCCTGGGTTAAGATTGATCAGTAGATCCTCATTATTCCATAACGCCATCCGCCGTATGCATAATCGAATCCAGAGCCAGCCTGGGGATCAGGATGGCAAATCCAAAGAGAGGACCGAACATCATCCATACAGGCCGACAACCCTACTAAACAGACTGTTAGAGTTGGCTTTCGAAACGCCTCGTCGCGTGGCGTCACGCTCACGCATCACTGTGACATCGCTCTTCCCTCTCACATTCGCCACACATGCCCCGCAAAGACGCCCCTGCCTCAGGCCTGATCTCCGCCCAGGCCCAGCAGGACCTCATATCTGAAGGAATCGAAAACTACGAGCTCCCCAAATCCCTCGTGACTCGTATCGCCAAGTCTGCTGTACGTCGGCTTCCGCTGGTGGTGGTTTCGTAGAGCATACGACCGATGGTTCGCCCAGCTCCCCGACAACGCGAAAATGCAGAAAGACACCGTGCTATCGCTCGTCAAAGGGTCGACCGTGTTCATCAACTACCTCGGTGAGCCAGATCTTTCGGACACCCGGCCCTCTCTTACGCATCCACTTGGTCCCCAGCTGCAACGTGAGTGACTCTTCGCTGCTATCCCACAAGGAACAATCTCATATTGCTCCTCAGGGCACATGACGTAGCCCTCTCGAAGCAGCATAAAAGCATATCCGCCTCAGACGTCCTGAAAGCGCTCGAGATGATCGAGTTCGGAGATCTGGTCGACATGTTGCAAGCCGAGCTGCAAAGTACGCCATGTCTGTTCTCCAATTCCTCCTCCCCATGTTCATGTACCCGCCGCACCCAGTCTACCGAGACCAATCGAAATCTGACAAGACCAAAAAGGCGAGCGCGAGCGCGAATTTAGCCAGCGCAAGTACCGCGGCCGCAGTCGGAAAAGGCAAATCAACCTCGGCCTCGACCGCCTCGACGCCAGCGCCCAAATCGGCCAAGGGAAAAGAAAAGGCGACCATTCTCCTGCCGGCCTCGGCCCTGGCGTCTGCTCGACAATCTGAATCCAGAGGCGCTGTCCCTGTGACTCCAGGTGAATCCGTGTCGGCTGGACCTGGTGTCGCGATGGACGTCGACGGGGAGGACGACCGCGATGTGGATATACCTGTACCGGCAGATTCAGACAGGGAAGGGGATGCCGAAATTGAAGAAGCCGATGAGGAGCAAGACGTGGAAGAGGAGGAACCGGAAGAAGTGGTTGACACAGTCGCCCTCGAGCAGGAAGAGCTACGACAAGATGCGCGAGGTTTGGACGCACGAGCAGAAGACACTGCCATGGAGGAATAGTGAAGGCGGTTGCCGCCCTTGCCAATGTGCATAAGTAAATCCTTTAATTGTAGGTATAACCAGAATACATGTGGCATGAGTGCAGGCCGTGGGTGGTTACATACATGGCAATGAGAGATAGATAAGATAGTCTGGAAGGAGAGGTGCTTAAGCACGTTCTCCGCGCAGTCGGCGAGCAAGGGCGAGATCTTTTGGCTGTATGGTGACGCGTTTGGCGTGAATGGCAGCCAAGTTGGTGTCCTGTAAGAACCACGAGCTCAGTGCATGACGGGAACGGAAACAAACCCCGCACCTCGAACAGCGACACGAGATAAGCCTCGGCGGCCTCCTGTAGGGCCATCACTGCCGACGACTGGAACCGAAGGTCGGTCTACGGGGAGCAAAGCAGCGTTAGGCGGTACATGATGCGCCGGGCGATTCCGCGCACCTTGAAGTCCTGGGCGATTTCACGGACGAGACGCTGGAACGGAAGCTTGCGGATGAGTAGTTCGGTCGACTTCTGGTAACGACGAATCTCGCGCAGGGCGACGGTTCCGGGTCGGAAGCGGTGGGGCTTCTTCACGCCGCCAGCAGCTTGCTGGGCAGTCTTGCGGGCGGCGGACTTGGACGCCAGCTGAGGTTGTGATGGTGAGCTTTGTGAGACGAGGTGGCAACGGCGAGGAAGCGACATGCCTGCTTGCGAGGGGCTTTACCTCCGGTGGACTATAGGGAGGATGAGCTGGCAGTGGGACGAGGCGACCGACCGAACGGACCTTGCGGGCGGTTTGCTTCGTGCGGGCCATCGAGACGAGTCTTGAGGAAGAGGAGGGTCTTGGAGATGGTGTTCGAGAATGAGTTGGCCGACAATCAACAAACGTCCTTTTATGGATGTGTCGATTCTCCTCACGTGTGCGCGCGTCTGGTGTGATCGTGGCTGTACCGCCTCGGATTAGGAAACTCCCAGTCGACCACGTCGCTCAGTCTGTGCTTAACGCCTGACAATGTTCCCGTGGCTCCTTCTCCTGCCACTCCCGGCCCTAGCATCGGTAGACAAAACCTTAGGCGTTGCGCCCTCTCTCCTATCCAAGTACTCGGCCCCAAAATCTGGCGTCTGGAAATGCCTGGACGGCTCAAAGGAGATCCCTTGGGAGTTTGTCAATGACGACTCTTGCGACTGTGCGGATGGCAGTGACGAGCCAGGTTTGCACTTGAATGGGGTCCCGTCTTCCTCTCGACTTATTCTACTCAGGGACGGGTGCGTGCCCAAACAGCACATTCTACTGCCAGAATGCAGGGCACATTGGCCAAAGTATCCCTTCATCCAGAGTCAACGACGGACTCTGCGGTTAGTACTTCCAGCTTACACGCTTGTTCGCTGCTTCAACCTTATTCAACAGAACCGCAATGCTGCGACGGCTCTGACGAACGACCTGGTGTCTGCAAGAACGCGTGCGCCGAAATTGGAGAGGAGTACCGGAAGAAGCGAGATGCGGAGCAGAAAATACAGAAGACTGTATGGGTTCATTCCTCCCCCTGGCTTCGGTTTAACATGAGCACAGGGTGCAAAAATACGTGCATCCTATATTGCTTTTGCACAGAAGGAGAAGAAGCGCCTGGAATCTCTTCTGGAATCCTCCACTGCGGCGATCGCCGACAAGCAGAAGGAAGTTGACCGCTTGCGAGACGTCGCTGAACGTACCGAGTCTGTGTCTGCTGCTGCTCTGGAGCACAAACAACAATCCCGTTAGTACTTTGTCCGGCTTAAAGTCCGCTCACTCATCAAATAACTCTCCAGCGCTCTACCAGTCTCTTCTGGATCATGCCTCTGCCTTGAAATCTCTCCAGCGTGAACACAAGAAACATCTCGAGCGCGAAAAGTCTCTTGGCGAAATCCTCTCCGCCCTGCGCAACGGCTACAACCCGAACTACCAGGATATGGCGGTGCTCGAAGCCGTCCGCGGATGGGAATACTTCGCAGGACTGCCTCACATCGGTGTGGAAGAAGATGCTCAGAAAGCTGCGGACCTATCCGTCTCCGATGAGGAGGCTGGCATTGACTCCGAAGGCAAGACTGAAGACGAGATCCCGGATGACCAATGGACGGCCGAGGAATTGGAGACTGGGCTGGACGACCTTCTTGACTCGGACTACGTGTCTTTGCTCATGGAACACGACGAACACGTCCAGAGCCCGCCGGCAGCTGCAGGTGAGTCGGCTTTGTTCATACGCTCACATGACATAGCTCACCTAAATCACTCCAGTCTTCAATATGCGCTCCTACTTGCCCGAGTCCCTGATTCCGCAGTACGAGTCATTCAGAGAGAGCATCTTGTCCTGGTTGGGAGTTGTTGGAATCTCAGCCTCGGATGCCGAGTCTTCATCCGGTATTTATCCATTCTCTGGTTCGCTGTGCCGTTTTCTTATCTGTTCTCAGACACTTCCCAAGCCCGCAAGGCTCTGATGGAGGCTGAAACTGCGCTGAGCGACGCCCAAAAAGCAGCCAAGGACGCTGAGCTTGACCTCGACGAACTCTTCAATCCTGAGGGCTACGGACCCGAAGGTGCCTGGAAAAAGCTCGACGGCCAATGCCTCGATCTGAACACTGGAGAGTACGTGATCAAGTCAGTTCCAACAAGCTTGAACTGATGCGTCGGTGGTCAGATACACTTACGAAGTTTGCTTATTCGACCAAGCAAGGCAGAAACCTAACCACGGCGGATCCACGTTTACCCTTGGGTACCGTCTCCTCTCTCCCAAATTACACTCCGGAACTAAATCTATACAGCAAATTTTCGTCGTGGAATCCTGACGTGGAACCGGGTCATCCTGACTACTACACTAAGCAGGTCTATAATCACGGTACAAGATGTTGGAATGGACCGGAGCGCAGCGTCATTGTGCGTGGCCTGTTTCATCCTGGCTGCTCAATTTTTCTGACCTACTTTCTTCCATAGTTGGTCCTGAAATGTGGCACAGAGAACACGATCCACACAGTCCAAGAGCTGGAGAAGTGCGAGTATCAGTTCACGGGCACATCGCCGGCACTTTGTCTCCCATTGGACGCGAGCGATTCCAGTCGGGATGAGCTGTAGGCACCACTACTAACTTAAATCTACGTCAATAGAACCCGGACAACCAAGCGTCGATGCACTACTTGGCGTTCGGCTGCACGATCAGGACCGGAAAGTTCATTACTGCGCAAATTGTTTCTATGGAATGGACATGGCTGGTTGAACGATTAGAGGACGTTGAGATCGCCGAACTTCTCTGCGTAGCCTGGAAAAAAGAATCAGTCGCCGAAGCGTGACCACGGCGGGTCCACGCACCGGGCACGGTGAATTTTCCCTTCTTCATCATCGTCTCCATAACCTGGACGAGACGCGGGTGTGCGTCGCCGACTTCGAACGCCTGGTGAGGAACAGTCAGAAAGAGTCATGGGAATTGAAGAACAGCACGCGTACCGTGAGATCCTCGAAGGGACGGGCCTCCTCGATGTTGGCGAGGGTGGCCTGCAGCTCCTTCACCTCGGCGTCGATTTTCTCCTCCATAGCCTGCGCAGAAACGACCTATTCCGCATACCCGTCGTCAGGCGGGAGCTCAGAAGCACACCCGGAGAAAGGACACGCACCGCCTTGGCCTCGAACGCCTCAATCGCCTTCACATGTGCGTCCACGTCATACGTTACGGGCTTGAAGCCCTTGAGGAGCTTCTCGGCCTCGTCAACGACGGCCTGGTTGCGGAGAACCGAACGGTAGTGCGCGATGTCGACGGTAGTCGGCTCGGCGGCGTATTGGGATTGCAGCCGCTGCGCCTCGGCGTGTCGTTTCCGGAAAGCTTGCAGCGAGGCAATGGTCTCTGTTGGATGGGAAGGGACGCAGTGAGTGACCGACCCGACACTCCGGTGTGATGCCGACCTTTTCCGAGTCCAAGTGTCGAGTATATACGGGTGAAGTCCTAGCAGAAATTCAGAGCGAAGACATTAATATGTGGAAATAGGGACGCACGACGGCGGCGACGGCGGTTCTAGAGGCCATCCTGGGCAGCCAGACGAGCTAAAGCAAAGTGGTGGGGGTTGTTTGGCTGCGTGCCGGGGGAATAACATCAAACCCGAATAAACCCGAGTCGAACATCCTGATTTCTTCTTTCAACATGTGTTCGAGCGCATCCATGCAGTTCGATAGAAACACGGAAACTCTGTATGGAATGTGATACAACCAAGAGGTGATTGCGGACTTCGCAATTCTGAATACGAGGATGGCAAATACATTGCATCAAACCTCAATTCACTCTTCCTGTTCCGACGATCCTCATATTTTCGGCAACATTTGCTTAAGCCAGATTGCTGCATTTGCATCTGTTCAAGACATCCTATCCCTCTTGCTGCCAGTCACCTCGACGACAAGATCCTCGGCACTACGATGTACATCTGATATGCCGGCTGCAACAAATACTGCGAACAGAATGCAAGCGGCGAGGTATCTGCGTTGCCCCTTTGTAAGATCGCTAGCTATTCGCTGTCAAGAGCGCAAATCGTGGTCTCTTCTCCATCTCGATTGAACGCTGTGTCTACCTTTGACCGTTTACTCTCGTCGTGCTTTCTCTGCCGTCAAGCAGTCAGTTAGCCAAGCCATGCATCACGACACCTCGAAGACCCTCTGGCACGGCATTCGATTTGCTCAGAACCGGACAGCGGCCTGAGCGAAGCCGATGGGATAGAATTCGACGATCAATAAATAAATGCAAGATAGGCGTACAGTATATATCTACAACTTGGCAACTTCCTGCTCGATATGACAATGCATCTTGTACCCATTCATCTCGTTGATGGTCAACTTGCCCTCAGCAGCAGCAAGCTCGGCATCGGGGGCGGTCATGCTCGTAAACCCGATCCGCTCGTTGAGGTTCTCCGTAGCGCGGGCCGAAGCAGCCTGCACGCGTGTCGCACGTGGCTTGCGGATCGTCTCGTACAACGCCAGACCTTTCTCGATGTCGTTGGTGAAGCCGTACTTGGCGGAGAAGATGATTCCGAGGGCGGCAGCGTCCTCGATAGCTTGACAAGCGCCCTGCGATTGATGGGGCATCATCGGGTGCGCAGCATCACCGAGGACGCAGGCTTTGCCCTTCACCCAAGTCTGGGACAGGATGAGATGGAGAAAGCAGGACTGAGGAGCGCTAAACTTACCTCATAAGGCTGGTGGACGTATAGTCTCCAGGGCATCCGGTCGATCGACTGCTTCAGTAGCGCAACACAGTCGGGATCCAGTGTGTCATAGCGGCCCACGAGGATGTCCGAGACCGGAACTTCCTTGAAAGAGAAGCCCTCTTCATGATGCGATGTGAGCTCTGATGGCATGAAACCTGCACGTATAGTGAGATTGAGCGAGGCGCTGCATCGGTGGACAACACACTCACAATAGAAAGAGACAATCTCCCCGCCAGAACAGGGAGACATGACAATCTTATAGTATTTCGAGCGACCGTTTTTATCGGGAACGCCACCCCAGTATTGTCTGGGAAAAAAATATCAGATAAGAGAGACCTGCGACAGCGGCACTGACATAGCCGGAGCGTAGGAATAATCGACGAGACCCAGCTTCTTCACATCTTCAGTCAGGACATTGCAGCGATAACATGTTTGAGGTGCCGATTTCATGTCCGGTACGATGCCAAGCTGGCCGCGAACGACAGACTGGTGGTTCAAAGAATCAACTTGTTTTCAGTGAGTGTGATATCGAGGCACTGCGCACCCTGATACCGTCGGATCCGATGATGAGATCGGCGGACACGGTCACGCCGTTCTTGAACGTGACGGTCCCAGCCTCGGGATCGACACTCTCACAGCTGAGGCTCGAATGTCAGGGAGCGCGTACGAGCGAAACAAGGTGCGGCGTACACATGATCTACGACCACAGTGCATGGCGTGCCCTTGCCTTCCAAAGAGGTCGCCGTCTTCAGAAGCGTCGCGTGCATGTCCTGACGGTGGAACATATTGTAGACGTTGCCCCACTCCTCTTCGTACTTCTCGAGCTTGTAATCGTTCTGAATCCGGCCCGTCTCCCATTGTCGCATGACGAGATTCATCTGCGCCGAGTCAGGGCGTGCAAGCGCGGGTGATCGCAGAGCACCATGCTCACCAGCACAATCGGCTTCATGTCGGGGATGTCGACCTCCCATTCACGCAGCCACTGGGTTCCGTTGGCCGCACACGAGATGGAGGCGCCGACTTCGACGTTGAAATCGCGGCGCTCGTAGATGTTGACTGTCCGAGAGAGAGCTCAAGCAGGTACCGCGCTTTCAAAATCTAGTGGATGCCCACCGATGTGTCCAGCCCGCCGTAGAGCAACTGCGGCCGATAGACCACCGAGACCGCCGCCTACGACGGCGACTGTGAGTTGCCTGAATGCAGATGTGGACATTGCAAGTTGTGCCGTCGGGGAGAGGACGGGTTCCTAGTTAAGACCCGAGGGAAACTAGGGCTCCAGCACTGCGACATGGTGTTATAAGTGTACAGGGTCCGTCCTAGAGAGGGCGAATGACCCGGCCTCGGGCGCTCCGCGGCCGTGGGTGAAGTTGAGGTTGAAGGGAGATAAGATAACCCCCGTGACCGCACGTCACAGCGATATCTCAATTCCAAGCTCTATGATAATCACGGCTCTGTACCACTCCCCTGTTCTCCGTGCGCGCGACCTACGAAACGATGGCTCCCCCGCAATTCTACGATCCTACGTCTCCTAATGAACAGCCAGTCGCCCTACCATCCGCACCCGCAGTAGCTCTAGCAGAGGGCATCACCATCCAGCCTCCGCTCACACGGCGTGGGACTGGACCGGGCTTGATCGTCTTTGTCCCGCCCGAATCCTCTCTTGACCTGTCCAATAAAACGGGTGATGAGAAACCGCTGGATCCACTCCCGGTACAGAAGTGGGCGGAGGAAGGATTCGCTGTCGTCGGAGTGCGTGATCTTGCTCGTCTCCCGGGTTTGCGAATCTCATCCTGGATCCGAGATTACCACTGGGCACGTGGATATCGTGGAATGCTTGAAGAAGGCTGTCGATGGGTTGCTGGCACTTGAAGAGTTGGACACGAGGGAGAAGTTCGCAGTGGCAGGTGCGGATCCTCTCTCGTTTCTCTAGGTCTCAAGATATCTCATCGCAAGTCACCAGTATATGATCCTGCCGCGCTCGACGAGATCGTCCTCGCGCTGTCCTCTGATTCTCGATTTGCCTGCCTCGTCGTCTATGGGTCATGTCCCTCAGGGACGGTGCCGATTCCAACCCTCGCTCTCGTGCCTTGCGGGTCTTCAGACACATCGAAGACTTCTTTGAGTGTGTTCAAGGTCGATTCCGGCGCGCCCCACTTCAGTCTCCCCCAATCAAACGAATTCGAATCCAGCTCGGCCTCGATCGCGCATAGCAAAGCAGCGGTGCACATCAAGAAATATCTCGGAGGACCATGTCAGTTGATATTCTTGATCTCTCACCAGGTTTCAGACTCAAGTGCGTCCTAGACTTTGATCTTGAAGCTATCTGGGAGGAGCACACCTACTTCGAATTCGAGGTCCGCAGTGTGGCGAAAACGATGGGCACGATGGTCGTAAGTATCGGGCAATCCTCCCGCGTCAATTTCTCAATCGCTGCGACAGGCAGAACCGTATGTGAACCACGTCCCAACGGTCTGTGGCCCGACTTGCTGGGGAGAATTGACAGCCTAATTTGTCCTCCAGCTGGCCGGGGGCATCGGTCGCAAGAATTTGACTGCGTTCTATCGGTTCGTTTCACGTTGCAGTCTCGTCGAAATGTGTTTCTTATCTGAGCAGGGACCATTTTGTGTTCAAGTGTGTCTTGAAATCTCCAAGAGCGACACGTAGTCTGAACAGTGGCAGCAACCCAGACGACACGCGGCTGCAGACCATATCTCGGACCGTTGGGACGGACCGAGTCGTTGGTGCGTGCCTCGTCACTTTCCTCGATCTGCTCTGAACGAGGATAGATGAATTCGTCTTCCACGCGACTCACAACAAGCAAATCGATTGGCTGCTGCCCGGAGTGCCTCCCACTGGCAAGAAATTGGCCATCCCGATGATGGGGGTGATCAACATCCGAGGCGACAGGCTCTATCACGGTCAGCAAGGCCCGCGCATATCGGGTTTCTGCTGACAAAGTCTGCAGAGCACATCTGGTGGGACCAAGGCACGGCCTGCTTGCAGGCGGGCATCATACCGACGCACGTGCCGTTCGAGGGAAAGACGCTCAGACTGCCTATTGCTGGTGTCGAGTCCGCGACGCTTTTGTGCGATGAGAGGTCTGTGCCTGCCAACGAGATGCTTGGCCCAGCATACGGTATCGTGTGATCCCGTTGGCGCTTGAAAGTATAAGAGGAAATTCTGGGACGCAGGCCGAGCCTGGTCGTTGCGGACAGCATACTGTATATTAGTCAGGATAAGTTGACGAAGTGCTCGATTCCGATCCACTACTGAGTTGCCATTGTTTCTATTTCAAACACAGAATACGACATCAGACTAACGTGGAACATTCAAATGGGATCCGTAAGATATCTACAGTACACGGTGTTATGAATAAGTGGTCTACACAGCTACAAATGAAAACAAGACAGCAAGGACAAAAATATCCAGCACTAGACTACAAAACCGCATCCGAATGGGTAATGGGACACAAGAAAGAAAACAGGACGAAAGAGGCGACTATCCAGAATATTCACCCGGTCCCGTTTCATCGCCCCGGCGCCTGCTCCGGTCTCAGGACGTCCAGGAACTGCGTCCATTCGCCATGGTTGAAGCCCATCGCGGCGCCCCAGACCGTCTCGTCGTCCACTCCGTGCTGCGCATAGCCACCGGTGGCGTACCGGGACATATCGCTGGCACTGCCATAAGCCGGCGGCTGCGCGGGCGGCGGGAGCTGGTATCGGGGCTGGTCGGTGTACCCATGGCTGTTGTGCTGCGGGTGGTGGTGCGGGTGGTGCGCGAGATTGTTGGGCGACATCACGGCCGGCGGCGAGCGCATGTCCGCGGCGGACTGCGGATACAGCGCGGATGCCGATGCGCTGGGGCCCGTGTTTCTGACCGAGGACAGATTCTGGAGCCCCCCGCTGTCCCCGTAGTGCGTGCTGGGCAGTGCCGAAACGAGGCCCAGCGGCGGACTGACCGAGGTGGAATTCGCCGGCGAGCTCATGCCATGGCCGTGCCCCGGCCCGCCCATCGCCATAGCTCGCGGGCTCTCGCCAAACACTTTCCGTTCCTGCTTGTCGTGGTACGGGAACGCAAGCCGCCGCACAACACCCAAGATCCGCGCCTTTTCCCGCTCCCGGTCAGAGCCACTCAGTGTCCGGAAGTCCGGGTCGTAGAGTGGGGCCAGACTGTTGAGCACATCCAGTCCCCGTTCGGCAACCCCAGCGCCCCGATGGAGCTCGAGAGTCGACATGGCTTTCCGGACACTATTTCGGAAAAACGAGGCGCCGGCCTGCTCAGGGTTCGCAATCAACTGGAACGAGAAGAACATGGCAGCAGAGAAACAGTGGAACGGGCCCCAGTTCATGTGTCCCGGCACAGCAAGACCCGCACTCGCGTTGGCGCCCGGGCTCGTCGAAGTGCCAGGTGCGAGGAAGTCGGGCCGCGCCTGGCTCGTCATGGTGATCAGTTGGTCCGCTGCGGTGACCGCGATCTCTAGGCTCTGGGCACACTGTTCGGGCGACACATGTCCCAATCCAGTCCCTGGCTTCGCCGCAGCGCTCGCAAACTGCCGGTGCAGCGTAAATCGGATGTGGAAGTACGATGTCCTGACGACAACGCTTTGCACGCCGAGCCGTCGGGTTGCCAGGTTCAGCGATGCCAGATTTCGTGCCAAACGGTATTCATCTAGATCAAGCTCGTGGGGAAGCGTTTCCATCCATGAAGCCAGCGCCCGATCATTCGCAAGAATGCTGTTGTACGGGACAGGTCGAACGGAAACAGCATCGTCCATAATATCGCCGAGGATGAACGCGAGTCGGAACAAAGCGATGTTGGGCAAGTACAGGCGCCCGCTCTTGTCTAGCGAGGGGTCGCAGTACGAGGGCAGTTGGGTATCGAAATGATGGGAGGAGATGGATATCGGACGGCCAAACATGAATGCCTGCCATCTGAGCAGTGTGAGCGAAACTGGGAGAAAGAAGACGAGCATCGAAACACACCGTTCCAAAAGCACAATGTGCCACCATGCCCAACGTCGGCGTTCGGCGATATCCCGGTGCATCCTCCATCGCCCTGGATCTCGGTGCAGGCCCATCGCAGTCCCGATAGTGACGATTTCGCCCTTGGCATGCCAAATCTCCTCCCCATCACGCTTGGTCGTGGTCATGTAATGACACCGAATCAACAACAGCTCGATCAACTCCAGCGAGTACGAGCGATCGTCGCTCATCCTCCGCTGCAGGGCCGTCGTAGACACATCGAAGTATCTCAGCCCCAGTTGCTCATGGGGTATAGGTTCGCCCTGGCTTTGCGCCTGCTCCAGGGCATGCTCCAATAGCCGGTGCTGAGGAGGAAGGTAGTACGTGGCTAGAGCCATGATGACGCATGCCGTGCTAAGGATAACGCGGTCCGCAGAAGTCCCGCTCTTGTACCTCTCCCAGTGCGTGAGGAAGACGTGTTGGTTCACATGCCTGTAGATCCAGTTGCAGAATTCGAAGTAATACGCGATCAGCCCATCGATCGCTTCGATGGAAGGGAGCAAAGCGAGAAGGTCGCGGTCGTATTCGTTTGAGCTGGTTAGCGGTGGCGGCGGCGACGGTCGGCTGAAGGTTGCGGGTCGATCTGGGTCCGATTCTTCAGAGCTACGAGCGTCAGGGTTGGACTGGAAGAGATATTTATATTCTACCACCTCGAGCGCGGAAGATATAGACGTACCAGGAGTAGATGTGATGTCGTCGCTGTGACTCCTGTATATAACCCACCCTTCTCGCGAGAACCGAGCATCCCTGGGGTCACGCTCGTCGGTGTGGCCCTCTCTGACATGTCCATGTCCACTGGCTCCTTCTTGAGGACGACGGAGCCAGGTGACTCGGGAGGTCGCCGATTATTGGCATATGGACGCGACGGAAACACGTAGGCTTCGAGGAGCGATATGGACTGTCTCAGTCGGGCGAATTCCTGGGCAGGATCAACGCGTCTGCACAATGGTTGAGAAATGAGGACGGTTTTTTGCAGGAGCACGACATACTGAGCACCATCATCTCCGCGGGGGCCGTATTCCCCAGGTTCAGGGCCCCGGCCGTCCTGATAACAGGATGTAGCGGTTCCTAGGAGAATGGGACTGAGCGTTGTACATGACGTATGTTTAGAACGAGGATCGCACCTCTCAGCACACACGATGAACACGGGCGGTTTCTGCATGGGAACGTTAATTGTGTGTTCTGCCGGAGCATCACGGACTGCGCGCGTACCGGTCGCATTTGAGCTTGCTGTTCCGACAGGGCTCACAGTTGATGGCTTTGCGTGCGCGCTTGGTGGGACGGGAAGCGTCGGATGAGTCGGGGCCGGGAGAGGTTCGTCCTCGGACAGAACCAGCGGAGGATGTTTTTGGAGGCTTGGGCCGCGGAGCTACTGGAGAAGTAGTCGCCGCTGACGAACAACTGTCCTCTGGCATCATAGAGACTGCCGTTTTAAGAGACAGATGAGATGCGGATGTCGGACGGGATGGGAACGGCAGCAGAGGAGGCAGGAGGGAGGGCGCAAGCAGAATGCGCGAGAGGGCAGCCTTGGAAGGACCAAAATGATTTAGTTTCTTGCCCAAACAATTTAGCAAGCAAACGAGCCCAGTGTCCGGGGTCTTTGATCCGGCTGCGATAAGTAGCTCTCCCAGGTACCACGGGCCTCCGAGCCTGGTGTCTCACCCACCAGCCCCGTCCATCGCTGTCAGTTTGTCCTGGGGAAGCTCATCCGCAAACCACGGCATCTAAGGCTATCACTTCGTCCGCTCTTTCGGCCTCCGCCTTCTTTCAGATTTCTGGGTTCTCCCTCGTGTCGTGCGTCGAGCTAGAGACCTTGACAAGGTCAGGGCCAGCGTCCGCATGTGCTTGGACTGCTCCCATGTTCTAGTCTCGCTCATGCTTGCAACCGGTCGTCGATCGAGACCCATGCAGGCCGACGACCGCATGCATTCATTACCGTCGACCCCGTGCAGGCTTCTCTGTCCCCGGACGGACCAATGCCCGCGCATACAGCGTAAGTGCACACGCGCTGTGTACGTCATTTCGGCCCTACAGTATCGTGGGGCACCAAAGCTGGCCCGCGCAGAACGCACTCAATATCCTTCACGATGTCCGGCGAATTTCTCTCTCATTCTGCGTCGGCCAATGTCAAGATGATAGGGCACTTCACTTGATCAATTCTATTGCGTCTGCTCTGGGGTCCCAGCAACAGTGCGACGAGCAGCAGTTGATAATCAACGCCGGCCATTGAAATGTCCGCACCGAGGCTCACGTGCAGTCGCCATCCAGCCAAGGAAGACGTGAACTTTCTCATCGTTGTCCTTGGTGCCAGCACTTCTACAGTCTCTGATGGACATGGACTGTTATGACGTCGACGGGAAACACACGAGAATTAGAGTGTGAACTGCTAGCGTCGAGAAGCGTGAAGGCGACTGACTGTGGATTGGCGAGGAACAGAGCGCACGGGCCAGACCTAGAAGACCGGGGAGAGTCGGGACCCGTGGTGTCATGTTTGTGTTGTGGGCGCAGAGCTAGGCTGTCCGCCATCACTATCAATCGAATACCGGACGGTGTCGATTGACCCATGCACGGATAAGCGGAGACAGAATGTTCGTTCCTTCATCTCCGAACAGCAAGCACATGCAGGACCCCGAACTTTCAAGTTATCCAGGCTGGTCGGGTTACAGCGTGATCTGCGACGCTATGCTTGAGGCGAGCGACCGAACTCTCAATCTAAGTGAACCAGAGAGCAGCCCATCGGGAGGTCGAGATCAAGCGAATGACTTTCCCTGCGAGGCCATCGGTCCGGATGGCACGCACAGCCATCGACGACTGGAGATTTTTGCCCAAGAGAACAATCCACTGTCATTTGTTCCGGGCGTCTGTGACGGACGATGCATTGAAAGATGTTGAGCGCTCCCAGTGACGTGCAAGATGCATAAAAATTAGACAGGAGATGCCGCCATCGACTCGTGCAGATTTAAATAGTGATGCAGAATTACGGAAGCCTCTCATCTGCTTTTGCTGCTCGTTGAGAGACAGGATGCACTGCACTGCGCTGATACTCTTGGAAGATAATGAGGAGGCTTTGTGGTTCTCGAAGTTGGCCGCCGAGCTCAATTACATTGCCCGCGAGCAAGATTGGTAATGGCACGAGTTGCTTTATGATCAGATGCCACTCCAAGTGGGACGAGTCAAGCCAATCACTGTCAGATTAGACAATCGAAAACTTCTCCCTCTGAGTTTCTTCACGTGTCTTGTGCCTCGAGTTGGTGGCTGTGAGTGCGAGAGACCGAACTTTGTTGATCTGGGGCACGTGCAACATGTGTATCACGGGACCGCGATCGCGATCGGTCACGTCTGTCACAACCATCGAAGTCGAACCAACTTTAGCCTCTGCCTCTGCGTCGTGCTCACAACCTATCCACGCCCCTCTCTACTCTGCGACGATGAGTACGTCGGCAACCGCGAAGGTCAAGGTCATTGCCCGTTTGCGTCCAAGCGGGCGCGGAGAGCAGCCCGACCCTGGGGTCCGCATCTGCCACAACGAGCCTAGCAACTCGTCATTCACCATAGTCAACAGCAGCGGGAATACTAGTATCAGCGACAG